TTTAACAAGCTATTTAATTAGAATATGACAGCATTGTATTTTATTTTAATGACAAGTGAAAAAAATTATGCTGGTTCAGTCCCTATTTTTTAAAGGACACGTTACAACTTTCAAGAACTATTTTGTAGCAGTAGAAAGAGAAACAAAATATAGTGTTATAATGGAAATTAACACAGAGAGAACAGCTAGAAAACTTTCATATGGAGTTTTCCTTCTGATGTTTTTAAGACATATTTAGTTGCCATAAACACCAGCAGACTGTTTGTGAGAGAGAAGTGTGGAACAAGTGATTGAGCTAAATGATTAACTGTTTATTTATCAATTAGATTTGGATACTAATAATTAATTATTAGGGGTATGTTGCTTATTGAGAGTGAATATTATTATTATTATTATTAAGACAAGAATACCAGTTAAGATATTGCCAAACATCTACTCTACAGCTACAATCATGCCACGTATTTAAATAAAGTACATGATACTCAATCAGTTGCTGATTATTTCTTCATAGACAAAAGCCATCCTGCTCTCTCTTCAGTGAGACTTCAGTGACTGTCATAGAGCTGATCTCTTTGTGTCAATTCCATCAACAAGTCCTTTTCTAAGACCCTGGAGGTCAAGGCTGCCCATCATGTCTGTCCTGTCTGATTTCTGGCAAGTCGATCACTTGCAAATAGCAAGCATTCCCAGCAATATAATTAAGAGGTGGTAAGCTAGTGGTACCACTTGAAGAGTTCCTGGCCTCAAAATGGTGGAAATACACAGGCTGGGACCGCTCACTTGTTATAATGTCCAGTTCTATAGAAAAACAGTCTGCCTTAGAAATTGATTTTTAATCACTCTTGAGACTACAAGGAACATGGAGTGTGCAGTATATATACATGTTGTCCTTTCTGAATAAAGGGAGAACCGCTTTGTTGTGACTAACAACACACAACACTTCCAATATAATCACCTGAGGAGTAACTACTAATGTATCAATAAAATTGCACATCCTCTAGAGATCACCTTAACTACAAATATCTGGAACAAATTGTAAACTTCTGATGGTAAATTAATTCATTTAAAAATGAGTCAAATCCCAACTAGCTTATATTTTTCTGTACTGAGAGCTCTTTCCTCAGAAGTGGGCTACTGGGAGAAGCATTATTCACCCTTGGAGACTAAATAAGCCTGTTAAGAAAAGTGGTCACGCTGCTAATTAGTGTACTTTGTATTGTTTGTATATGCTTGTTCTTCAGATGGGAAACACGAGGTATAACAAAGTAGAGAATGAACTCTTGCAATATGTTGCAAATATATAGTAATTAGTTCAACTGAAAAAGGATAAAACACCTCACATTTATCATATCTTTAATTAGGTGATATATTGTTGTGTCCTCTTTAATTACTGGAATATCTAATGGTCTTTTACATAAGTGCACAGGATAAGGAGAATATGAAGCACTAGCAACCCATTTTCTTTTCACTCACGAGGTAAAATAATATGCCAAAGTCATGCAAATAAGGGAAAGATTCCAAAAATACTAAGATAAAAGCAAAATTGAATTGGTTAGAGGGGCAATTTTGTGTCAGATCTAAGTGTTAACACTGTCTATGAAAGCAGAAAAAATAAACATGCTAATTTATCAAAAAGAAAATTATCCACGCTTTGGGAAAAAGAAAAAGAAGGTTTTCTGGTTCAATAATCCCTTGTATGAGAAAAGTAAAAATAAACAACATATTTGTGAAGTGTTTGAGCTCTGCATTTGAAATCCTTTTTATAAAGCAGATTGTACAACAGTTAATTGAGATTTAGGCTGTGCAGCACCTGGCTGCTTGTTATTCTCATTACTGAGTGGCAGTGATCCGGTGGGTTAAGCAACGATTTTGACATCTATTCATGCAATCAAGTCATTTAAAGGGTTGTTTAAATTTACATTTTCAAATTTGTATTGATTTACAAAAAATAAAAGAGATTTACATTTTATAATTTAATATGAAACATACTTTCTTGTACAACCAAATAACATTTATAGAGATTCTGCAATTGTGCTGATGATCTGTACGTCTCTTCCATCTGTAGGTTTCAGCTGATTCAGTGAAGCATCTGTTTAATTTTTTCTGAAAAGCTTAATCTAATCATTTTATGCCCCGATCTACCAAATATATCACAGACACCTTTCTACTGTTTTATTCAAAAAGTTGCACGACTAATGACTGATCATGTTAAAAGGCATAGCTCACATTGTTACCTTAACAACTTTTTTTCTTTTCAGGCGTATTTTGGATAGACGCTAACAACAGCTATTTTAACATTCTTACATTAAGTTGAGAAATATTTTAAAAAGTAGAATGAAGAAAGCAAACACAAAAGTACAGTTGGCAGTAGCCAAAGCAGGATTGTGCTGAATAATTACACAAACTTGACCAGAGGCATGTTTATAAGGCATTGTTACTATATTGTTTTAATACAATATAATAACAGCACTAAGACAGTTGCAAAGTCTGTCTGCAGTTACTTTTCCCACAACATATTGCTTGACCCTAAAATGTCACTTTAGTTTGAAAAGCAGATTGTGTTTAACATAAATGTCAGAATTTCATGACTTGTTGGTTTCCTAGATATAAATGAGGATGATATCAACTCATTAAATAATGCAGGAGAACCAAAGGATGAAGCTAGTGCAGTGATCTTAGGTCAGAGGTAAAGCTGAATCTGCTCCAAGATAAATAACTAATATGAATGAAAAACAAGATTAGAAATTCTGTTCCAGCTGTTACATAATGGCAGTAATAAATTATAATGTAAAGTGTAATTTGACATATGACTGCATTGCTTATCAATCACAAAGTATATTCTTGAATAGATCATCCACTGTATTTGCAACTGGTCAATAAATGGATAGAGTTGTCTATGTTGCCTCTAAAGGGAAGGTAATTCACAAAGCTTCACAGACACAATTCATCTCCAAACTTAGTGCTGGTTGTTGGGTGACGAAAAAGATATCCAAAAAGTTGTTCTTATTTTCATTTGCAGAATTTGAATGCAGGATGCAACTGTCAATCTGTCAGAGGAGAATTCAGTAACTTTCACAGAAGAGGATGAGGAGGAAAAAGAGTTGAGTAGTAGCTGAGAGTGTAGAGTTTAATAATATTCTTAAAGTTTGGAGAGTTTAGGCTTATGAGAGGACTACTTTTACTTCCACTGACTGAGTAAAGAGCAAACTGATGTCTATCTGGCGTGTTAGTGAGACTGACATCAAAACTCACAAAAACAACCACCGTCAGAACTTGAGTGCACATATAATCCAAGTCCACAAAATGTTTGCATGAGCTGGATTCCTCTGATCGGATGCATCAAGGTATCTTCATGGTGTCATCACATAGTGCTATAAAAGTAATTTTAACTCTACCAGACTGCATGGCTGCTATGCACTCAGCTTGGTGCAGAGCTGAGCTACTCTCCAGTTGAGCAGCAGAGATGAATAATTTTGGCAGCACCCAACAGGCCTTTTGTGGAAAGCAAAACTCACATCATCATTCAAACTTCCAGAGCAGAAGTTGTTGCAAGTAGGTAGTGAACTTCCATTTGTTTGCAAGATTCATGAATTTTCTACAGTAAAGAGGCATAATGTTATTGCAGAATGGTATTCTTCTGTCAGAGTGCAATTTAATTTATGTATTCTGTTGGGGTTTCATATATTCTCACTTTTGTACATATTCTCTTTGATTCATATATTCCGAATTAGAGTTCATCCTGATTATGTAGGCAAAGATTTTCTCTGTGCTGCTCATGTCTCCTTTCCAATTAAACTAGTAATGGTTCTTATTTTAATAATCTTCCTAAGGACTTAAGAGTTTATTAAGAGAGTAATATAATAACTTTTAACCGGTGCCAGGACTTTAATGCGTTAACTTTGATTAATTAATTAAAAACATTTTAATGTGTAAAAGATTTTAACACAATTAATCGTATTTTTCGTTTTCATATGCCAATGTTCTATTTGTTCCTGGTAAACCCATAAATTTGACGGACAATAAAGTTGCTTCTCTTGGTCCACTGGTACATCAATTTTGTTTCAGAAAATGATTTGATGGGGGGTTGGGAAAGACTATTGCTGTGTGCATTATTCAAACCAAAAATACAATACAAAACATGTTCCATCAAGCACAAGCTCCCACTACTTTTAATACTTTTTTGAACGCCTGCTATTTGCAAGTTTTTAAATAATTATCCACAATTTATATTAAGCAGATTTGTGAAACCACATATCACTATAAAATCCATAGAAAAAATTAAAAAGAAACTGATAGGAGAAATTTCTCCTTGTGAAGTTACATATGAACGTACTGGAACATCTCAGTAAATTAAATATTACTGAAAAGCTAATTTATTTAAGTAGGTCAATCAAGAAGCACAACTATAAACAATATTTTATGGGACCAATAAAATGTTGATCAGTAGACCAGTACATACAGCAAGACACACAAGAATGAAAAGATACAGAAGGTCGTTGCTGAAGAAGCTAGTGACTGAGAATTTTAATTTGGAAGGTTGAGTGGAAGGAAAGACAAGAAAGCAACCCGGAGAGCAACTCTCTAGAGAACTGAGAAACAATGTCCTTTGAAGAATTCCAAGGTTAAGTCAGTGCTCCAAGGTCAAACACAAAGACGTACATACTTTTTAATAGACCAACATTTCAGTTCTGTTTTTAGAAGTCTTCAATAATGCTTTAACTTCTGGAGAAATTACATTTGTGTTTTTCACTAGCCGTAAGACATTTTAATCAAAATAATCAGAAGAAATTGCTTGGAGTATTTCACTCTGTGTAACAATAAATTACATAAAGTTAGGTTACTCTTGGTAATACTACAAATATTGAAATGAGTAAACACTAATTTATTATTAGTGTTGTTGCTGAAGAAATACAACCAATTATCCAGTTGGGCTGTTATCATTCAGCATCTGTGCAGCAATAGACGTGATGCATTTAAATACAAATGCAGACATGAGGTACCTTTGACTTCCTTCTCATTCCTGAACCAGCGGAGGTCGGCAGCGGGCTTGCTTCCCTGAGTGATGCAGGTCAGAGTGATGTGGTCCCCCTCCATGGCTGGCTTTGTCAGGCCGTTGATCTCTGGCTTTTCTGGCACACCTGGATGATGAAATGGAAATCACAGCAATAGAAATAGTTCAGGCACCACAGTCTGTCATTATGCAGCAATAATTCTATTATGGCTGCATGGAATGTTTTTCAGTAGCTTACCCACATGCAGAGAGATTAAGGAGCACACTCCAGAGCTTCACCAAACAGTTCCAGGACACATCAGGCACATTTGGCATACAGTAAAGCGGTTTTGCTTATTATTTGTTTACAAAAAAATACTGACATCTCTCTGTATAGCTTATTGCTTACTGTATTTTTTTGTTTGATGTAATCCTGCTTTAACTTAATGAAGAAAAGTATACTTACAAAAATATACACACCTCTTTTTCACTCTAAAAATTTGTGTATTTTTTGAGTTTATATGTGATTAACCAACACAAACCTTCACATAATTGGTAAGTGAAAGGAAAATTATAAATGATTTTAATTTTTATTTTACAAAACCAAAAACGACAGCAGTATATCTTTCGGGGTATGTCTGCATGAGCTTTGCACATTTAGAGATCAAAATGTTTTCCTGATCTTTGCAAAATAGCTCAAAAACAGTAAGTTTGGATAGAGAGAATCAATTAAATAAATTATTTTAAAAATTAAGTAGTGTTTTGAAAACATTCACATAGCTACACTCCTTTACACTAACTGTAGCAGTAAGACTTTTTAATTGACATGCTATCACCATGTGAAGTTAAGTTGAAAAGCTTGTTGTAGTTTGCATGTGTGTACATGTGGATAATCAAAAGCTCATGATCAGGTAAGAGGCCACAGGCTTGTACAGAAAATGCTAATTACTGGCCTGTCCTGTAATGAGTGTTTTAAGTGACTTGTGTCTGCCCTTCTGTTGTCAGTGAGCAATAGGTTTGCCTTGGGCCGAGTGACTGCAAGGTCTGTCAGTCAATGCCATTGACTGACTGTTGCCTTGTTTGTCTAACCACCTCCACATTTAACTGTGCTAATTTATTAGCACAGCTAAATGAACCTGATGGCTACTGTTTGCAAATGGGTAAAAGCTGAATACATGTCAACAAAAGCTGCAGTGTTCAGTATTCTATGTAAGTTATGTTGCCTACTTTTGAGGATACGTTACTGTAGCTTGACTGATAGTTTTTTTTCTCTCTCACTGAATAGGAGCAGATGAGAGACAATATTCATCTGATGTTCATTTTGTGTAAAACAAGTTAAAGCCATTGAAGATAAGACATTTGGACATTATGCCTTCAAATGTGAAGATGTATTCATAAGCACTTTTCCAAGGCACTCTAGTTTTTAAAAATTTCGTTTTCACGGACTAAAATTTAAGTCTGCAACTGTATTAAATACAATTTAATCATAAGGTCATATGAAACTAACTGTTGGTTTGTCTTTTTCATAACATCAGAAGTGAATTGTTTTTTTCAGCCAGGTTCCATTTTTATAAATGTGTTTTGAATGAGCCAGGCTTTAGTGTAATTTTCTAATCATGATTTTTGATAAATAGTTCTCTTTGAAAGTTTTGAAGTAGGCATCAGCTACTTTCCTGTCCATTTTCTTCCCAGTAATTCACAATCTGGTACCTGATTATTTTGGAGCAATGTTTTTGGAGTTTTTTTGTTGATGTTTTTTTTTTTTTTTTTACATCAAACCATCACAGGAATTATTCAAACCTGAAAATGGGTGAACCACAGTTTATTCTACACATAGCTGTAAACGTGGAGAAAGAACTATTTCCAATGGATTTCTGTGCATATATCCAAAATACTTCAAATATCAAGATTTTCTTTATGAACTACCACATAATCATGTTTGTGATGTTGAGTGAGATGTAAATTTTCCTCTAAGTATGAATCTGATGATACAGCAGTTTTAGTGGTTGATTATTCCACTGCTCTCAGCTGTGTCATTGTTACACAAGTAATTGTTTCCTTCTTCTAACAAAAAAACAACAACACATATTTGTATGTGTAGTCCAACAGATTTGAGTATGAAGCCGTTTGAGTATTTCCTCCAAATCATTTTACTTGTGTTCATTGCCAGCACTGAGTATCTTGAAGTAGCAGCTGATAAAACCAGGCCATTCCCAGATCATTTTGTATAATTATTAAATCGGCGTCTTTGTTTCCTGGCGTGCTACATTAAGTATTGTTCAGCTTTGCAAAAATAATTTCCCCCACATCCTTATTGAGCGGTCGCCTTTAATGTCTCTAATTTTGAGAACGCTTGTTAACACAGAGAGCTAGCTAATGGTCCTGGAGTGCATGAGCACATCTATTAACATTAGCAAAAAACTAATTGGAAAGATAATAAGCCCAGAGGCAGGAAATGAAGCAATGTTTGTGTAAAGTGATGATCACAACACAAACATGTCTGAAAGAGGGGAGTGGTATTAACAGTCTGTTTTTTTTTTTGTTTTGTTTTGTTTTTTGTGTCCAGCTGCAGGCAAAAGCAACATGCAGTTTTAATCATATTCAATCAAAACAAAGGCATTAGTGGAAACATTTTCTACAAAGAAAGACAAAGACATCATGCAGCAATTTGCATAAAATGCTCTTACCTAAGACGGTGAGGTAAGCTTTGGCTGTTCTGACTGGCATGGTGAAGAGAGAGCAGGTGTAAAGGCCCTCGTCACCCAGTGTGACGTCGCTGATGCTGATGGTCAACTCTGACGATGTGGCGCGCACAAGCTCAATCCGGTTGTCTCTTAAAGCTGCATTTATAGACACGAACAGGGAGGAAATAGTAGAAGCTGAATGAATATGCACTTGGGAAGACAGACATAAAATACACATGTCTTGACAGAACATTATGAATTTAGTACATTCATAATATTTGATGAAAAACAAACCTTGCTATTCGAGTACATAAAAACCCTGTTTTTATATCACTTATATGGCAAGTTTGTCATTCTAACAGCTCTGTTACTAATTCACACTTGTACAAAGAAGCTGTTTATGGTGAAGTGGTTTTCTTGCAACCAAATGAACCTCTTGATTTTAACCCTACTTGTTTAAAACTTAAGACTAGAAATGTACAAGAGAATATGATGATTTTGGTCTGATTGGTTCTAATTGTTAAAGAGTTATTTGAAACATTTAAGTGTCAATCAAACAAATCAAGATTTCTGAAAGAGAGCAATGTGCTTTATGTGTTCTAAAGAAATTTCGAATTGTGTTTATGATTTTTCTTACACAACAATAAGACCTTAAAAGCACCTTTCTGTTAAATCTGAAAAGAAAAGCATTTCAAAACCTCCACAGTAAACTACGGTGGAACCAGTTTCTCTGCTGAAAACCACAGGTAACGTTTTGAAAATGTAATCTTTCCAAACAGAAAAATAACGTGATGAAAATCAATACTGCAATAAGAGGAATGGAGAGAAAAGCGCAACAAGAATTTGATAAGATATGAGAGTTGAAAAAGATTTGCTGGTTGATCAGCATTCAACAGTCTCCAAGCTTGTCCTTTCAATTTGTATATAGTGATTCAGTTGGAACAGGCACTACAATTTCAGAAAGTAGTGACACCTTGAAAATTGGCAGGATTTGTCACTTTCCTCTAAAAGATACATTCCAAGCTATAAAACCAAAACACAAAAATACAAGTTAGTGCATTCAAAAAAGACCCCTTGAATTTGTCAATTGCATGAACAATTTCTGTTCATTGTTTCTATGACCCTTGCTGTAGAGAGGATCCATTCATGGATTGCTTTTACATGAACAAAGAATTTCCACAGAATTAATTTAATTTAAGCACCACAGAAGGTTTGATTTTGAAGTTTATTTGCATGTCAGTCTGTGTGTGTAGGTGTGTGCGTGCGTGTGACTGATACACTGACAGTATATGCTGAGAACAAATCTATGCATACGTGTGAAAATTCCTAAGTAGACATCTCATTAGTCAACATTTGTTTATTTATTAGGATCTCCATTAGTTTCCACCAAACTGGTTATTAGTCTTCCTGAGGTCCAACTGATAAAACACAAAAATGTTAATACCAATGCGTAAGACCATTTTGAAAACATAACAATATCATTTTTTGGGTTTTTTTGGAATATAGTTGCTTCATTTCATTTATCAAATCCCTTTTTATCTTATTTTCATATTACACATGGCTGTCACAATAAGACGTGGCATGGTTAGAAAAGCAATAAAAACTTTGACTTTGATTTTGTGTGAGAATAAAATCCCCAATATAACCAGAAGGTTTGTTTTAAAACAGAAGTGATTCTTATTTGCAGCATTATACCATATTGAGTAGCATCAATAGCACAAGCGGGTGAATTTTCGTCCAAGACCAATAATCTGCAGACAATTTCTGAAAAGTAGATGCACGTTTACTGTTTAAATTAAAGCTTTTATGTGTCATTAGCAGGATAAAAAGCAAAAGGCATCTTGAAGATGAAGACATAGACTGTCTCATTATGGAAATCTCAGAGAACTGTTGCTGCCCTCTGCACATTTACCACATCACAATATTCCTCTAATCACTCTCTTATTTCAAAAGAGATTTGCTTGTGCTCACAAGTTCATAAAGGTTATTCTTTTTGACAAAACAAGCCAACTATGAAAAGATGAGAAAAGAACACTTTATTTTAAATTTGGGGCCCTGCCGTCAAATGGAAGTGCAAAAACCCCCCAAAAAACATTGTAATGAGAACAGTTAATTTTGAGGCATAGCTAACTTGGACCATCCCCTCATAAACAGAGTTGTTCTATTTATTCACTCCCAGTTAAGAGCAAGAATTAGGCTTTATAGTGGTATTTTTCTTGTAACATGCATACAACAGCATTCACAAAGTGAACAAATATGGAGAAAAAATAGCAAAAAGGCTGATGTCATCTCAGTCAGTCATGGGTTGCTAAGAATTGCTTTGTTGCATCCAGGCCTATCCCCTACAGTAAATGGCAAAAGAGTTGGAATCAGTCTGACTAAACGACATCTGCTCACTCTCATTTATTACTGCATTTGTTCTGTCCCTTCTCGTTCCTCGCAACACTGGTTATCTCTACACGCCGTACACCGACTCTGAACAGGCGTGACATGTTGATATACTGTAAGCACATGATGTATCTTTAGGCTTTACACCTGTGACAGTCCATTTCTGCTTCTGTGCACGAATGAATACACACGGTCATCAAAGCAAGACCACAGAGTTAGTTTTAGTCAAATGCACTGTCAGTTCTCTTAATGAAGAAGCCCATCTTGAAAATATGTGGTATATATGTTCCATGTTGTATGCTTGCGAAATACTGTACAAAAATACAAGACTTCTAAAGCTCACTCTGGTCACAAGCTCTGTCTATCCTGCTTGAGTAGCACTTTTTCTGCTTCCTCCCACCCCAAGACCTAATTCTGTCTTCTCCAGCGGCTTCACTAACCTGTGTAAGTTAAACAATGCCTCAATTCAACTGTTTTCTTATTTGCTTTGGGCAAGGAACTATGAGCAGCCAAATGTCAGAAAATACATTTACTGGCTCACTAGCTGTCTCAATGCAACCCTGCCTTCATCTTTGCCTCTCCTCAACACTTCTTTTAGAGAAGCAATTTATGAGACATCCAGAAACCGAGTAACACACAGAGTATTCAGTCCTGCTGGTGTACTGAAACTGGAAAATACAAACATAAACTCTGTGACTTGACAAGCTAGGGTGACACTGCACTATGTAGTGTAATGATTGAATAATACAATAAACTTATATGAGTCATCACCAGCATCCAAATGTCATGACCAATTCAAAATACAATGGCTTATGAACTTGAGGACCATTGCCATTTAACACAAAATGAAGAATATGTCTTCAATAATCAGTGGGAAACACTATTAGCATTACAGCAATCAAACCATTCTAATAATCACTGACCATCTTTTAGCCTTATTCTAGTGTTGTTTTGATGAATGGATGATGAGCTAAGACTTTAAGACAAGAAGGCCTCCTCCTCCTATATCATTAAATTCTTCCACTTAATTTTTAATAAGATTCAAGTTCATAAAATACCAACAGTGGATGAGGAAATAATTCAAGAAGAACCACATCTTTCTGAGAGAAAAGATGTGACAATAGAAATTATTTACTTTCTGGGTGAAACAACATTCAATTCCCAATTGAATGTAGACAAAGACCATGAGACTGAAAGTGTTAAAAAGACTAAGGAGTCCAACATTAAAATAGTAACAAAATAGACCACCTGTAATAAAAAAAATCAAGCTGGAGCAGAAGTGGACCTTGGATCATAACAATGAAAAACGATACCATTAAATCCACCAAGGACTGGCTGAATAGGAATAAGAAATGTGAAGGCCTGGGCCAAGTCGAGCCCCACATCCAGATCTAAGTGAGATCCTGTGGGATGAGTTGAAACAGTCTTTACATGCAAGAAACCCCTCAAACATCTCACAGTAAAACATTCCTTATGCCATTTTCCTTGTTAGAGATTGGCAAATGGCAACAAACTCTGTTGTTATAACTGATGTTATTTCAACCAAATTGGGTCAGACTAACAAATAGGTGATAGGCTGGCTATTTTAATAGTTTGCTTAGGTTTGCGGGTTGACAGTTTTCTATATGCCAGTGAAGATTGAAGACTTTAAATATACATTAAAATAATAACTGAAGACTCACATGCTTTTAGCACATTGGGCTTTCATGTGAACACTGTAAGTAAAAGCAAACAGAGCCTTAGCAGTATAACCTCTGCTCCACACTCTGCAAAGTGAAAGGTTGGGTATTGACAGAGCAGCCAGGAAGATTGCATCGGTTGCTATTCATCAGCAACTGCAGCAGTCTGCCATCCATTACAAACCATTAGCACTAACAGTCTTCAGTGTTTTCATGAAGGATAGTGTTGTTGTCAACATCAAAGAACAGCACATTTGTATTTGACAGATTATTTACTGGATGTACAACCATATTTTCTGCTCAATAAGCTTCAGCTTTTGTCTCTTACAAAGATGGACAGAAAGTAAAGATGCATTTGTTAACATCAAAGTCTGATTTGTCTCTCCAAAAAATGGTCAATACACCTTTGTAGATTCTGCTGCTTGTAAAGTACATAGATCTTGGTATTTGTATGTGTGAACAAGAAAGAGATATTAAACATTTAAGTGCATAAACTGTACCAACTCAAAGCACCTCAAGACCTGACAGATACAAGTTTACCAAAGTGGTTGCACTTTTCTTCCAAAGCCTGTGGATGCAAAAAGATTTTCCATCTAATTACAAGTGCTGATGACTGCTGGCTCTGTTAAAGTTTCCCTGAACGCAGCCAACTCTGACAAGATAGCAGCGTGTAAACGACCGCGACACCAAAGCCACATGATGCTCTTTTCCCAAACAGAATCGGACAGAACAGAGAGGGCAAGTGTCAGCTATCTCTTTTTAAAAATCTGCTGAGGGTGAGAACAGAGGCACGATGTTGAAAGGGGAAAAAACTGAGACTAAAGGAAGCTGCAAAGAGAGAAGGTCAGAGATGGCTGGTTCCCATTAAATTAGAAGCTACATTTTTATTCCTAGGGAACATGTTCAGTGAACTGGCAGGCTGACTGATGATAACTGTAATGATACAAACATGTTGTATAGGATATTAAGACGCAATCATTGCTGAAAAGTTAATTAAAACAAAGCATGAATAGTAATTAACAGTCTGTTCTCTCTGTGTACATGTAATATCCCTAATGTTGGTTTTGACTCAGGAAGATCCAGGAATTC